GGTTTTGTTATCTTGAGATCACAAGAAATATATCCTGTTGTCATGGGAAAACAACATTTGTTATCTCTTGATCTCCCCATATCACGGGAAAACGGAGTCAATAAAATGTATGAATGTATGGCTGCTTAGGGCCAGAGGTAAGCATCAACAAACTCCGTTGTGCTGGTATGAACAAGACATTGGTGGCAGAGAAAGTGATGACTCAGTAGAGTGCAGATCAACGTCCTGTGTTTTTGGGGGCATATGTGGGAAACAGAAAGTGCAAGGCAGGCTGTGTGTTCAGTGTGAATGCATGGAAGTAGTGGAATGAAGGGCAGAACTTTTTTGTACAACATAGAATATGTTTTCTAATATACATTTTGTTGTAACACACCACACAATATAAAACACCTTTCTTACGCCTGGTGATGATAACAAATATTAAAAAAGATTACAATGTCCATCCATCCATCCATCGTCAACCGCTTATCCTGTGTACAGGGTCGCGGGGAAAGATTACAATGTAACATAAAAAATTACACACAAAAAAAATGTTAAGGTCCTTCTTGGACGTAAGTTAGAAATTAAATTCACTCTGACACTTTCTCAGATTATGTTTACTGTGCTGCACTGGGCAGAAAAGAGTGACTTTGAACTGCAGGCAATTAGGTTGAGTGTCCCTGTTTTTGTCCATGAGCAAAAGTGAATATGTGAGTGGACTTAGATATGCGGAGGACAGAAAGAGATTGTGGAAGGTGGTGCTGGACTTTGTGAACAAGCCATGAAGCAGAAAGGGAAGGTGATTACTGTATTAAGGGTGAAGGTGCCATCTGTCTTAAAGAGTCACTCTTGTCTGTTCATAAGTGCACATTGTGGAAGAGCCCTGTGTAACGGGGAAGGTTCATGTGATCACAGACTATCCAGTCTGGAGGAGTCTTTGTGGAGCCAGACCTCATGGCCTACCACAAAGGGAGGCCATTGTGTTGCCCTATTCTGCAACTATTCAGCTATCAGCTAATGATTCGTCACAAAATGCCACACCAGTGCTACAAAGCAGGATCAAAAAGGCAGAGTTTAACAACAGGAAACTTTAATATTTTTAATAATGGAAGGATGACCATAAGTCTGGAAAAGTTTGAGTCTAATATGTAACAAGAGTGAAATATGAAAATAGTATTTGATCCCGATCCTGTCTTCCTTCTATGAGTCTGAGCATGGGGAGAAAACGAGGGCATGTCATCTACCATTATCAGTCTTTCTCCTCTAACACTTACTCTAGAGCCTCCCAAGAGTAGTGCAGAGAGCAAGCCATTAAAGGCCTGTTGAAACACTACAGATACTGTCAGAATGAGACAGGAGACCTGGAACGAAAAGTTAAACAGGCTCCACCAAAGACAGTGACATGCTCACATTTACAGCTTCACTGCACCATACTAAGAGTGTGATGGTCCCAGATGAACATCAGTCTAATTTAATTATCAAAATTTCATGGGACACTCTTAGGGGAGAGGTTGGAAGCTATATGTAAATGTTTGTAGTATAGGTTATAGAGACGGAAGCAGAACAGAAGAGGTGGGTGACAAATTAAATAAAAAGATAACATAAAGCATCATACTAAGGCATTGGGCCACCACAACTCGCCAGAACAGCTTGAGTTTCAGGTCTGTGACACCTCGTGCCCTCTATGGACACATTTGTTTCTCCACTCATTTATTCAGTTTTCCTTAATCACGATTTGTCATGAGTCTCTATCTGTTTGACTGTCCCAGTAAACATGGTATAAGTGATAAATACATTTAATACATAGTGAAATATAGTAATTGAAAAACTGTTGATACAACCAATTATGTGACTTCTACATGTACATCTAAAACCTATACAGTACATGAACTCTAGATTGTGACGGCCCCAGGTTTGGGCCCTCTCTTGTTGTTCGTATCATGCTGTGTTTTGTCCCTTTAATCTAGGTAATTGGTGGGTGGAGTTGATACCTGGTGTGAGATGCAACACACCCGGGGCGAGTTCAATTTCAAAACGTTTTGCACCGGTTTGCAACGTTTTCAGATTGAACGGCATGTTTCCTTGAAACTTTGCGCAACGTTCTGCAACGGGCTTCGGGGTATGTTTTCTCCCGTATGCTGGGCGTGTCTCATGTGTTACCCAATCAACTGCAACAAGTTTGTAAACACAACGGCGCTAAAAAGCCAGGAAAATGCAGCGCACTTGCGTACACAACAGGGTGTTCAGGGGACCACTGTTTAAAACGTTTTGCTATGTTTTGTCTGCGCTGAACTCGCCCCTGAGCAGGCGGGGCTCAGGTGGCTATAAAGGAGCCTGCTTGATGATTTGACTCTCTCTTCTCCTGGCCTGCCGACTGATTCTGTTTTGTTTAGTTATTTGTGTTCTACACATACACTGCATACATACTGATCTGACAGACACCTACAATTGTATATTTTGCTTAATTTATTTATTAAAAGAGCTATTATTTTCAGACTGTGTGGTTTCCCGCTCTTGTCACTTACTGCTGAGCCAGGTTGTGACCATAGACTGTATATAAAAAGGTTGTGACAAGATCTATGCCAGTATCACTGGCTGAAGAACCTAACATGGTGGGGGAAACCGGAGCACCTGGTGGAAACCTACGTAGACTCAGGGAGACCATGCAAACTCCACTGGGTCACCATGCCACGCCATTGCCATGAACTGTTAGACTTTCGTAGTCTATAGGATGAATCCTATTGATTTTGGTGGTCCTCAGAACCTCTAGCACCACCATGATGTGATTTTGAGCGAAATGTCTCAATAATTATACAATGGATGGGAATTTGGTCCACACATTCATGTCCCCCTCAGGGGATAATTGATCACTGACTTTTCTTCAAGCACTATTGTCAGTTAAAACATTTAATTTGTTCAATACTCTGGTTTATGATCAAATATCTGCAAAACTAATTCCATTCCACCAGCCTCAGTGTGTTTTGTTTGGTGCTGATTAGTTAAATGAGCATGCATGTTGCTAACATTAGCATTTAGCTCAAAGTACTGCTGTACCTAAAAATATAGCACACATCACAGAGTTGCTGGCTTATACTCACAGAGTCACCAAAGCCTTACAAATGAAAAAGGTCAAAACGCTCCACTGGCTTATGTACAGTGACAGACTGTCTGAAGTAAAAGGGGAATGTTGCATGTTAGGCAGGTCAGCAGATGCTGGGCTGACAGTCAATAAAATATTCAAGTCCAGACACTGCTATCATGGATCTGGTGTCTCAGAAACAGGCCGTTAAGGAAAAGAAATATGTTCTCAAAGTGCAGTATATGTCACAGGGACATCCCATCACAAGAAAATATTACCTGGGATGTTTTTCATTCACCTGTAGGCTATGTGAATCAGGTTTTAAAGCCCACCTTACTGCAAGCATAGAAAGGCTGAGATACAGTTTCCGTGGCTCCAGCCTCACATACTTTGAGGTGCGTTTCCAGTAAGTCCTTGAGGGTTTAGAGCTTACCCTATGTCAAATCGCATGAAGGCTCTCTTGCAGACTTTTTGAGACCTTTTTGCACACTTTCTGTAAGTCCGCATCTCTGCAGACTTTTCCTGAGGGAATTACCCACAGTTCATAGCGTTGGGACGTTAGTCTGCACTAACCACACAGGGTTAAAAGGAGAAGTCACTGTTTAAAAATTTTTAAACAATTTATTTAGGCCTACCTCCAACTCTCTCTGCATAACAGACAAGCCTTCAGCCCGCATATCCCAATCCATGCTGTCACCTACACTCTTGTCATTTCTCATTCCCATGTCGCATGTGTTTTCGTGACAGAAAGTAGTTTAGAGACCAGACAGAGTCATCTGGGATTTCTCCTGGTGAAAGGTCTTGTAATGTGTGACCGCCTACTATCAATGTGCAAACCACAACGGCTTCAAGATTCCCAAAAACAAGACAGGTAGTTGTTTGGCGTGAACAACGCAGCGATCTGATGACGTTGAAAGTCTTGTATGTGCATGGCGATACCATAGTCAGTTTTGCTCAGTTGTCATTGAACTGTGGTTGTTAACTTTCTATGTTTCTGAGCACTTTCTGGACTTGTCTTCAATGTTGGCTTAAAAGTTGAGCTTGACATGTCATTTCTGACCTTGGGTACAGCAGATGACAAAACAATCTCAACTCAAGATCCACTTAGTTGCTTTTTGAAAAAAGAAAATAATTTATTTCATGCGTCCTTGAGCAAAAAAAAGAATGCATGTCTATTGTAAATGATTAACAAAACAGTGTGTGCAACAAGAAATTGAAGAGGATAGTTAGTGTAGAGCAGGGGGTTTTCAAAGTCTGAGACGGTAGGGCTCCTGTCAGACAAAGCTTGGGAAAATGCGCCTCCCCACCCTCCCTTATTTTACTTGCTTAATTCCTGAATGCCTATGTTATTTGATGCCAATACACTCATGTGTTGAGCCATGATAGCCTAATATTGCTGTTTGACGTCACTTCAACTCAGTCTCCATCTAAAACATAAGAGGCTAAGACATGTTTTAGTTCCTGACTCTGGGAGTCAATAAATCCCCAAAACTACTAATTCTGTGAACTCTCTCTATAACCAGATCACATACATTTAGGATTTTCTATGTGATCTCCTGTTGATAACTAATGAAATAACTAATGTAATATTTTTTCACCTGAATTCACTGAGCCTCCCCTGAAACTGTTTGGAGCCCACCTGGGGAGGCCTGCCTCCCACTTTGAAAACCTCTGGTGTAGGGACAACTGTTCATTCCTTTTACATTGTCGCCATCTACTGGAACATAACGTTATTGTTAAACTTTCAAAGCATTACCTCTGCATTCAAGCTGCACAGTAACTGACGGCAATATAAAAGCGATTCTATTCACAAAGTTGATCCAAAAGTTACTTTACGAAAGAGAAACACGCTGAGGTCATTAATCGTAGTCACAATAACAGTTCCACACACTGGACTGGATATTGTTGTGATGACACAGACACCGTATCAGACATGACTGCACCAATTGGAAAATGAGAACTTTATTACAACACACAGACACTGTATATCCAGTCACTTTCAAAGCATGTAACAAGTACAGTTAGTCGTGAAAACTGGTGGAGGTGGATATGAAGCCAGATGCAAAAACAAACCACATGCGCATTGACATCCATTACCTCTGGACACTTCACAACATATGGATAAGATCCGAGCATGCCAGACTCCTGAAAAACCCAATAACTTTGCATAATAATGTACTGTACAACTTCTATTGCATATTGACACACTGTACAAAACCAACAAACTGCTATGTAATAACTGAAAAACATCAACCGGGTTCAGTGTGCTACAGTGAGAATGCTAAAATGATAGTGGTGTAGAACTGAAGGTACATGATACATGGTTGAGGCTGCCACAGCCTTACTTACATTGACATAACCTAGAGATTTTCACCTGTTTGAGTCCCACATATGTGAAAAGCACCTCTGACTTGTTTGTGCTAAGGCAAACATGACACATTTATGTAAAATAAAAAAAAAGGCAAACAAATCAGCTAGAACAGTAACTGAGCTGCCATATTAATAAAAGTTAAGAGCTTCGATCACGGTTATTCACTGTATATACACCATGTATTGGGCACTTCCTGTATTTAACATACGTACCTAAGGTATAAGATCAGAACAAAATTTAAGATCAACGAGGAAGACCTCTTAAAATGGTGTTAGTGCCTAGTGGACACTTAAAAAAGAAATGGACGTCCTACAAACAAAAAGACACAAGCCAGGGTCAAGCACACTCCAGGTACCATCTAAAGGGTCAGTTCATTAAAACACACAGATCTACATGGATGGAAACCACAAGGGTAAGTGAAAGAATATGTTCTATATTTTTTGTCTTGATTTGGGTGAACTGACCCTTTTACATCTCCTCACAAGCTATGCACAAGATACACCAGTTAGCAGAGTAGCGAATGGGACCAGTACACACTTAGCCACTGGTAAAGACACAAAACAAATAATATAGATTTAAAGTAAACTCTCATAATGACCTCAGATCAGTGCTTGTCAAATGTTGTCTATTGTTACGTACCCTGCAGTTTTATCACTATCAGGGGCAACTACTGCATCTGAATAACACACCTTCAGAAGTTGAAACTCAGAATCTAATGTCGTCAGATGACAACTAACCAACAATACGCCCCAACACCATGAAACAGTAAAATAACCATCAAACAATGGCATAGTAACACATTTCATCTAAGAGGAAAGACTGCAAACAACTGGTCTGAGGTATTAACCCCGATCAAGGAAAAATGGCCATGTCATGGCATTCACCAAGTCAAAACATCTAAAATAGTTAATTCTTTGCATGTGACACAATTCTGGTGAACTGATGTTTACCTCAGATTGTAGTGATCTATCTTCTTGAAAATACTTCTTTTGGATATACTATACATATTTTTAAGTATTAAAATAGATTGTGTAGATTCTAATGGATCTAAAATTTGTAATTTCCGCAAACACTAAAATTTAAAAAGGAGGGGGCAAGAAAGAAGAGCAAGACTAAAAGGTCAAGACAGCAACACATTTACAATCTCAGTTTTCTCACATATTTACAAAAACAAAAGACTCTGTATAAAAAGTATACATCTAGGTATCGTCCTGTGGCACACCTGATAGATGAGTAAAGATGACATGATGCAGATTATCCTAGTCTCAGGACACTGCTCCTTTGAGACAACATTCAGCACACGCACAAGGCAGAGTTGCGGTGCGGTGGCAGGATACTGTGTTCCTCAGAGGAGCTTATTTCTCTTTTTTGAGCACAAGTTTGACCATCGTTTGGTTGTTCATTTTGTACATAGCTGTGAGGCATCTTCTGGGGGACGCTGCTGTTGGAGGACCTGCCAAGGCGACGGTGAGCACCTCTGAGTTCAGGGGGGGTGTGCGGAGAGCGGCGAGGCCTTTTTAACGGAGGAGCAGAAGTAGCACAGTCCATTTGGGTTGTCGAGTCTTGCTTTTCAAAAACACTCACACAACCATCTGAGGGGGGCAGCGTGGCCCGCACAGAGATGACGTCAGGTAAGAGCTGTGCAGTGGCACAGAAGGCTGCCTCATACAGCCCAAATGCCTGCTCCAGTGTTGTGGAACTGTCTTTGAATGGGGAGGATGCATTCACTGCATCGCTCCGCTGAAATTAAACAAATCAAAACATATAATTAAAATTAAAAGTTAATAATGAATCATTCAGTCCAATTACTGATATAAATAATATAATTTTTAATTCATAAATATACAGGTAAATTCAAATTCTGTTTAATTTTTCTGTCAAGAAAAAAAAGAACTTTGAAACACAAGTTGCCATTCGTCAATCTAAAATTAAAATGAGACAAACAGATAATGCTGTTACAAATGGACAAAGACTAAAATCATGGAAATAAACAATAGTTTGAAACAATACTGGATTATGTGTTCTTGTGGTTGAGCATGAGGTGTGCTGCATGATCAAGTAAAAATGTGGATTGTAGAGAATGTAGGAATTAAATACAGATCTGTGAGTTTCAACTGAAAGACTGCTGAAGCTGGGTAATATGGGAGGCAGGTCTTTTATCTATTCACTTTAAATAAAATACATATAAATGGTCAGTTTATAAGTATTACTGAGGCAAAATAGGTAAAATATGAAAATCTAACCGTCACCTTCTCCTTCCAATGAAAATCCCTCACCTCTTAGAAGAGTATAGAAAGCACATACCTATTCGATTGAGGAACACAGTAATATATGAAAAGCAAATCATGAAAAATGTTACTGTCTTCTCACTTGATACATATTGTCTCTGACTATAAGTAACTATGAGTGTGATATCCACTACACTGTGATTAGTGTTGGCACTGTGAATTGTCTTTTCAAAATGTTTCAGTATCTTTGCATCTGGTTTTGTTCTGTTTCTTGTAATACAAAAAAGGACCAACCTGAAACAGAACTGCACTGGAGACACATGCTCTTGGGAAATGGCACAAACCTTTATTTAATAAGCCAGCAACTTCCCTGTCTCCCTCTATTGGCTACAATGGGAAGAAGGTTCAAGGTGGCTCTGATGATTGTTTACCATCTTTACCTAACAAACCAATTCAGAAAACACTGAATTACTCAGCGTTTTCTGAATTGGTTACCTCACTTTCATGAATGACTTTAGTAAATACTAGGCAACACATTTAAAGAAATAGGTGATCTACAACAGTACAACATCAATACCACTGTAACCAATGCTCCCAATCAGGTAGGACTAACCAGCTGTAAAGGAAGTTTGTCATTTTTATATCCAAATCAATTTCTACCACCAGCTTCAACAAGACAAACCTGGCTATTCAAGCAATAGATCAATTAAATCATTGGGGGGTCATGTTGCTGACACTGTGATACATTTTTATAACTGAGCAGTCACCTCACTACCACTCCAGGCATGGCCATCCCTCATGTTCTTCTCCATATATCTCATCTTCTTCATAAAACATGTCATCCTCATGCTCCGCCTGTTGGCCCCGAAAACAAAGAGTGATTCGTTGAAGCCATTGCTGCACTGACAGAACCTGCTATGACCTTAAGTCAACAGCCATGTTTGAGTACAAGCCTTCATTATTTTAACTGGTGAATGTATTACACAAAATGACAATAAAAAAATGGACTGGAATATATAAAAGGACAACACAGTGAGAGGCAAACAACAAACAAACACACACAAATATTTAGTATATTTCATCCATTGTCAGGGTGGTCCTGAGGTACTTTCACTTGCAGTGACCAACTCTGTATATTAAAAAAAAAGTATCTGTTATTTGCCTGTCTGACTTACATGGTTCATCCTAATGACATATTACAAAATGAGGATGCAAAAAAGCACTGACCTTTGGGACCTCACATGTGTTATAAGTAGTTCCTGGGTATGGAACATGGTCAATTCCTGTAGCCATGTCAACAACAATCTCATCTCGATGCATAGGGATAGGCGGGCCGCCGTGCTCCTGTAGGGCCAAGACAATGACTGTCGTGTTGTCTGCACGGAGCATCCGCTCTTTCCAAAACAGTAGGGCTGTGCATCCCAGCCGGCGGGCGCAAGACATTCCCTTTGGTCCCTGGAAGTCATAGAGAAGTAGCAGAAGGAGAAATAATATGAAGGATTGCACAAAATCATTTTGATATCACAATCCTGTAAATGGCAACACTTCGGGGCTCCAAACTGATATGAAAATCAAAGCTAAATAATCACATTCTGATCAATACTGATGACTTTTTTTATTCTGTCAAAGTTGTAAATCTAAAAATCACTTTCAGCACTAGATGATTCATTTTGACTTCTCAAAAAAGTTGGTGCGGTGTACTTGTTACAGAATTACGTACCACCATTTTGTCGTGGCTGTAACACATGTTGACAGCATTCTTGGGTGGCATCATATTCCATAGTCCATCACTGCCGAGGATGATGTAGCGATGCCGTTTAGGGTCAAGGGTCATCACGGTGGTATCAGGCTCCGGAGAAACCACAAACTCCCCACTATAGAAATCGTAGCTCCACAGGTCACCTTTCAGGATATACGAAAATATGATTACTTTGGGAGTAATTGCAAATTACCATTTACCATACAGTCTACGTTTACAGACACTAACAAACAGGGTGTCATCTTTACCAAGGGATCGGGCCACAGCCAGGAAGGGGATCTGGTCAATGACTGTACTCCTCCTCACCGGACCGTTGTGGGTCAGTCTGGGCCTCTTCCACACAACACGGTTCACCCCAGATTTCTTCATTACACTACAGGCACAAGAATAGCACAACACACATCAGTACAAAGGCTCAACAGGAAAAGCACAGCAATGTTGAAACGCCCTGTTCACCAACTCACCTGCCACCCAGTCGTTCAATCCTTTCTTTTTCTTTGGGAAGCTCAGGTTTATGGTCTTGTGTCACTTCGAGGGCCTGGAGTGTGATATCAGAGTCATTTTCTTTCACTCCAACCACTACTGCTGAATCCCCTACATGGGCAACATACATGTGAACTCCACGGATCACAATCACGCTGGCCGTGGTGCCTGACGTACTGGGCAGGCCAGTGATAGTCTTTGGCCACTCCGCTGTAAGGGAAACAGATAAATAAAAAAGTTAATTGATTAATGCTACTCACTGATCAAATATGGTCAACGTTTGTAAGGGAAACACTGTTGGCAGAATCAGTAAAGGCTATAACACAATGCCAAACTGTTGTTAAAATAGAACCAGTTCTATTTTACAGCAATAAATTGCAACATACAGGCTACTGAGTTTAGTGGTAAATGATTTGAGTACCACTTTTGTTAAAAGTAACACTGGTATGAACTTAGTGAAGAGGGCACACTGAAGGTAAACAGACAGTAAGTAAGGTAGAAATATCTTACTGGACTTATGTCTGATTTCCACTCTGGTGTTATCTAACCCAGGTCACGTCTTTAAAAGTCTACCACAAGATACTGGATATTAGCAGAACACATGTAAACAAACATTAAACAGTAAACTTTAGTTAGCCTATGACGTTATGTGTAACCACAGGGAATTGTTTGGTTCTTTGGTTCTCTGCATCTGCACGCTACTAAATTATACCAAAGCGTCAGCATCAACAGGAGGTCATTAAAAGTAAAACAATTGTTGATGTATTTGTATTTTTTTTAACCCCATAGCGGTTTAGACCCAGTCACAGAAAGAAAGCAAGCCAACTCTATCGCTATCACATAAATAAAAGCAGGATTAAATAGGTTTAACTCATAATACCACAGAAAAACATCACTGCAATCATACCAGTCACATGCTGTTGAGGCTTGTTTATAGACATGGCTTCACCTCAGGCTTAACTAGTGTTACATTCTCTTAGTATATCTTAGTATTCTCTCCAAAATGACCCTTTTGACTTTGTTGTTTTGTCCATTTTTACTTTAATATGTAGTACTTCATCCAGTATGTCTGCTATGTTCTTCTCTGTGGTTGTGGACATCACGGTTTTCTCTTGATCTCTCCGTTTTCTTCTTAATGTATTGATGTGATCTGAGTTTTAAAAGCCACGCATGGGGAGTTCTTAAGCTAGTTTTGAATTACCAGCCTGTTCACGTTAGAACAGAGTTGGCGATACAAAATAGCTAGATTCTGGCTGAGTTTGTTGGCTTAATGTTCCTCAAGCCACGATCTTCCACAATAATAATATCAGAGTATCTCATATAAAAAAGGATAATGCATTATGTTCCTGTCAAATTGACAGTGAATTAAAACACACATTCTTCAGGAAAAGCAATGTTAAAACTGAATAGGCCGCCATCATGGTATTACACTGTCAAATGCAGGAGCTGTGATGCAGAAGATAAACACCAACAAATTAAAATTAAATAAAAAAAAGTTATATTGTGTGGTTTATGTCAACTCTGAAATCTGTGTCATGGTCAGATGACAGCTCGTGTGTTAATCTGTTACGGGGTGGGCCAGTCGGCAAAGGATTGGGCATCATACCAGCTGAGTAGGATTCAGCCTCAGGTGACACAGTTTGCTGCCTAACGTTGCTGAGACAGGCTACATCCACACTGTGGACTGCGTGACAGCACGGATTTAGAGCAATATGTAGCAATAATGTTACATATAAAAATGAATACGCATTTTAAAACTGCAAGCAATCTTAACTTCGGTGACTTACGTAACTCTTTCCACATGGCATGGTGACATGCGATGAACCCTTTCCGAAGAGCAGCACACACTTCACTATGATCCTTCGACCAAAACCCCCGCTGCCTTTTCAATAAATCCCACAGATTCTCTCTTGCGAAGTGTGCTGCTTCTCGGCCCCCATGACCGTCAAATACAGCAAAAAACGCCACAGACTTCCGAGTGTTCACTACGTGCTCTGCGACTTTTTCGTCTGATACCGGCGCACTGTTGTTGTCAGTGTCCTCATTTGATAGACTCTCTACCCACACTGCGGAAGCTGGGCCACAATCAGAAGCAACGTTGTGAGCATGTGTCTCATTTTCAGTCTGTTTGGTAGGCTCACTCTCGGCTTTTCCCTGTCCTCCATGTCTTTGCGACTTTGGATAATCTTCGACTGGCGTCGGCTCGTACTCGATTCTTATCTCGACAACATCCTCCATGTATTTCCTCCCTCCTTGCTCCGAAAATGCACTCATACGAAATACTATTGCCTCGTCCATGACTGTGAACGTCTACTAGTAGTTATCTAAGCTAAAAAGGGCACATGTAGTTGCTAACTGTAGCTCGCAAGCTAAATTTTTGAACCGATTTTGCCGCGATTGTATGGCCGACGGCTTCCTTCCTTTTTGTTTATCTTCTCTGAGACGTCCCGCTGTACGTAATGACGCCCTTGTTTTTCCGCCTATCCACTTAGCAACTACGCAAGGCACGCCGAGGGACTGCTGCATTTACTGACGCTCGAATACATTGGAATTACATGTAGGGTCACGTTACAGACCACAAAAAACTGCAAAATAGTCTTGAATGTGGCTCTTTTCATGACTTACTTGATGATATAATTTTAATGTGTCAAAGACAAATCCAAGCAGCTGTCTTGTGTGCTTTTGCATGATGATAAGTCATGACATAACTCTGTAATATCGAATCTTCGAGACACGAGGAGACCTTTGACGCATTTCTTTTTACACATTATGCACAGAATGGCATTACAACATCCAAAGTAAGCAAACGACAAAAGATTTTTCTTTTGTGACCATAGACTGTATATGCTAACTCCTCAATCTACCCATGACTCAGCAACATTGGGATGGTAAATTTCTTCTGCTACCTTTTCTTTGTGGTGTTATGGCGTTTGGCATCATGATGGTAAACTTGTGTTAATACTTGACAGAGAACAAGTATAAACACTTTGTTTCTTTCTTTAGCAAGACCTTATTTTCTTGCCTTTTGAAATATATTTTAAAGTTAAAATGCAATGTCTGTGTTAGCTTATGTAAAAACTTGAAAGACTTCCATCTTGATTTGCAATTTGGTGTAAGTGTAAGTTAGGCAGTAATGGTGATTGTATATACATTCTATGAGTAAAACATCTCATCTCAACTGAAAATAACACTTTTTTTAGCACACATAATTAATAAATCCATTGTGTAGCTCAATAGCGTCTGACCTTATGAACATTATTGTGACAACTTGAAATACTGATTGTAACGTTACCCCAAATATATAAATAATCTTTGCAAAGCCAACAAGAGTTTCAGCCTGCTGAATGTAAAAATTCACTCAAAACCACATTAATTAATTCAAATATGCAATATGAAGAATTCCCTTAACACCGTAGGCTTACATGTTGCTTTATAAGTACAATTTTAATTTTGCATGCATGTGGTGGTGGTGCAGTGGTTAGCATTGTCGCCTCACAGCCCAGAAGGTCATGGGTTTGAACTCTGGTTGCCCCGGCCTTTCTGTGTGGAGTTTGCATGTTCTCTCTGGGTGCTCTGGCTTCCTTCCACTGTTCAAAGGCACATGACCCTAAATTGTCCCTAGTGGTTGTTTGTCTAGGATTGACGGGTGTACCCCACCTTTTGCCCGATGCCAGCTGGGATTGGCTCCAGCCCCCCGCGACACTGTATGCAGGATAAGCGGTTGACGATGGATGGATGGTGATGCCGTGGACTATACCTTTTGGGCTCGATGAAAATTGTGCTAAGTCTAGTGTAGTTTTAGAAGAAACGGGCATGGATCAAGTCATAGTACGCAGGGTCTCAAATATTCAACAGTTTTCACAAGAAATAATAATATTAGGGGTTTTATTATTGCACAGTCGGTGTGTGCACGCTTTCTTTATCAAGTAGTGCTACAGCAATGCCAGGTGGAGGCAGTGTTAATCCAATCAAATAATAATTATCCACTTTACCTATGTTTGTCACAAATTAGAAATTCAACATAAATAGTTTAAAACAGGAATTTTCACAATATGCACAGTGATAGCAGGCAACAAGGTATCTCATATGTGATACCTACGAAAATGTGATGTTGTATGGGATGTTATGTTTGTGATGTAGGCCTATGGTTTGGAACTCGATCGACATGGTTGTTGAGATTCCACTGGAATAATGCTGTTTTTCTTACGCAAACACAGGTATTTATGGTTCACAGACATTTTCAAATCTTTGGTTTGCTTAGTGATGACCACCACAGAGAAATGATAGATGTTAAGAAGAAATGGTCTTACAAGATAAAATGCAGTCATGGCAGTTGAATCTCTTTCCAAAAGAACAAACATTCTTGTCTTTAAATATTTATCATTGGGACCTATATGGATTCCTAGCCTACCTACTCAGCTGTGTGCTTTGCTACTGATTTTCTCTGTTCCTGTCAGGGGAAATCTTTACATGTCTTCCTTGTGTGTGAGAAAGAGAGAGGTGGAGAGTGAAAGAGATAGAGGATACACATGCTTAGAGGGGAGAAATAGGAATTTCCCTCATTATACTTTCCCTCAGTGTCTTCATCCTATCTTTATCCCTTTAAACCTAAAGCTCTGACCTTGACTTTAACCATGAAAACCCCATATTTTAGCATTTACTTTCTTTCTTTCTATCTATCTTTCTGCCTTTCTTACTTTTATTTCCTTCTTTCTTTCCTCTCGTTACTGTTTATGCTCATTAATAGTCTAGCCCTCAGAGAGGTCCTGTCTGCACACAGGCCATTATTACAGATGAAGAGGCAAAGTGATTTCCATGTAAATGGTGTCAGAATGTCATTTTCAAGTGAAGCTGCTGAGAAAATGAATTCCTGAAGACGAGAGAGATTACCAAGGGGCAATGACACCTGGATTGCATTCTCACAGATTCCCCATGCAGCTCTTGGTCCATCCACAAAAATAGCTTTGTTTGGCTTCCTGACTGTGTAGATGCTGAAGTGTCAGTCATCCTGACCAAAGAAGAAAAAGGAAACGGGACTCAAATATTACCATATAAATGTATGGTAATATAACCATTGGTCATCTTTTGACATGAAAAGATCATAGTTAAACTTTGTGTAGGTGTGTGTGTGTGTGTGTGTGTGTGTGTGTGAGAGAGAAAGCCATCTTGTTGACAGAATTTTCCTTATTGACATACAGTATAGTCAAAGTGTAATGAGTAATTGGTGAGGGTACAAGTTGTCCAGGATAAATAAATTATATTTGAACCTCAGTCAACCTCAGGCTGGCCATAAGTTTATGTGACAGGTCACCATACAGCTAAATAAACAAATATAAAGACATAGATCAATAATGGAAAAGGGCATATAGAGACTTAAACCAAGGGTTAGCAGGTTTCTTAGACCTCAACCCAAATATCTTACTTCTGAACAGAGAGAAGACACTTCAGGAAAATGTTCATTGCCAACACTTTCACAGAGGTTATGAGCTGGGAGCAATCGATCAAATGAACTAAGCATGTGACGCATTTCTACCTCGACATTTTCATCAATGTATTTTAATTAAACTTAGTGGGGCTTTATTGGGCCCTGCGATGGACTGGCGACCTGTCCAGGGTGTATTACGCCTTTCGCCCGATGTCAGCTGGGATTGGCTCCAGCCCCCCGCGACCCTGTACGCAGGATAAGCTGTTGACGATGGATGGATGGGGCTTTATTGGCATGGGAAACTAATCACAGTTTACATTGGACCTACGTATAAAATTTTTTATCTATCTATCTATCTATCTATCTATCTATCTATCTATCTATCTATCTATCTATCTATCTATCTATCTATATTATGGCATGCCATTAAGGAAAATATATATATATATATATATATATATATGAAGTTTGCTTGTCTGAATATATTGAATGGAAGTCTGAATATATGGAATGGAAGTATGAATATATTGAATAAAAGTCTGAATATTTGGAATGAAAGTCTGAATATATTGAATGGAAGTCTGAATATATGGAATGAAATCTGACGTCATTAAAGCACTGGCGCCACCTTGTGTTTTCGATGTGATTAATCCGTATGGATGTAACAAGTGTGACACTATGAGCGAATCAACAAGAAATCTAGTGTCACAAGAAATCTAGTGTCAGCCATTTGGAGCAATGAAGAGATTACAAACACTAGCAAATGCATGTACGTACGAGCCAAAATACTGGGAACTATATCCATCCATAGCGTTATCCAGATGAAGTAATTTTTTCTCTTTCATTGTGGAAGACCGAATGCAGGAAACCTCCCAGGCCAGGCAGTTCCCGTTTATCAGGCAAACAGAAACAAGCCTTCAACCTCACAGGTGCCCCCCACAACAGCTTAAGTTAGTTTGGATCCGAACTAACCTTTTAAACACCCAAGTCACAAAAAAAGCTCTAAAAAGCTTAAATCACGCAATAACCTGCAGCCTGTGAGGACATGGTTTCCAGTATTTTGGCTCGTATATGCATTCGCCAGTGTGTTTATAATCCCTTAATTTCTCAAAATTGCTGACACTGGACACTTTCTTGCTGATTCTCTGTGTCACAGTGTCACACTTCACACCGAAAACACAAGATGACTTTCATTCAATATATTCAGACTTTCATTCCAAATATTCAAACTTTCATTCCATATATTCAGACTTTGATTCAATATATCCAGACTTTGATTCAATATATTCAGACTTCATTCAATATATTCAGACTTCCATTCCAAATATTCAGACTTCCATTTCATATATTCAGACTTTCATTCCAAATATTCAGACTTTCATTCCATATATTCAGACTTTCATTCAAACTTTCATTCAATATATTCATACTTTAATTCAATATATTCATACTTTGATTTAATATATGCAGACTTTGATTTAATATATGCAGACTTTATTCAATATATTCAGACTTTGATTCAATATATTCAGACTTCCATTACATATATTCAGACTTTGATTCAATATATTCAGACTTTATTCAATACATTCAGACTTTCAATTCATATATTCAGACTTCCATTACATATATTCAGACTTTGATTCTATATATTCAGACTTTGTTCAAATAAACATTCAAATACATTCAAGTGTAATGTAAGAAATTGCTATGACCATGACAATGAGTTAATTAAATTATGATAGAAGTAAGAATGAGAAAGAGCAGAAATAAATGTAATTAAATAAAAAGATAATGTTGCTATTTCAGTGTTTAAAACACTGAGGAGACAACGTCAGAAAGAGTGAAGAGAGAGTTTACAGAAATGGTGGTAATTGTTTACTTCATAGCAAAACAGAGATAAGAAATATCCTGCATTCTCCAAATACAAAACACATTTTTTAGGATTGTCTGTCACGTACTGTCCGTCTCTGTGTATCTTGCCCCAGGTTCAAACCGCAAGTGACTTGGTCATTCTGAC